TGTGTGTGTGTGTGTAAATTTGATATTTATTTACAATTCTTATATTCATTTCTGCTTCTCACAACCTTACTAGCTACTTCAGAATATTGGCCAAATGAAGTCACTGGCTAGTCTTTTGTTCTGTGCCAAACCCAAACAAAAAGTGTTCAAGCTTTAACAATTGGTCGGAAGTTGTATTTTATTTTCATTATCTGTATTTATTTCTATTGTGGCGAGGAGGGAGGGTAATGTACACTCCACAACACTAGTGAGGAAGTCAGAGGAAAACTCGTGGGAGTTGCCTCCTCCTTCCACCATGTGTGTCCTAAAGGTGGAACTTGGGTTATTAGGCTTAGTGGCAAGTGTCATTACCGACCGAGCTATTTCACAGGCCTAGGAAGTTTTCCTATGAACTTGAAAATATATACAAAATTTTCTATCAAGATTGAATTGTACTTTACATGTAACATTAGCAGATGAAATTAATACTTTTCATTCATTTATCCTATGATACCATTAAGAGTAAGTAAGTTAGTAATATGACAAAGTATGATTCATTATCAGAAGGTTTTATCTACTGGTCTAATAAACAATCATTAGTCATTAAGATGAAATACAGCCTTGGTGCAGTGGGAAGGGGCTTGGACCTGCCTAGGCTCAGTGTGCTGAGCTCTGCTGACTCCCAAATGGGAGTCCTCGATTTGGGGGATATGGGGATTCGGGGTGGCTTGGGAAAGAGGGCTGGGGAGTGGGAGGAGGGAGGTGGGGTATCTGTGGATAGTATGTGGAATGAGTAGAAAATTTCTTAATAAAGAAAAAAAAAAGATGAAATACTACCATAATGGAAAAAAAAACAGTATTTCAACAAAAAGGACTAAAATTTATATATATTTTTGAATACATTATGTAACCCAAGAAAGACAATCCTAGTCTGGTACAACAGCTCACGTGTCAGAGACACACCCCTCTGTCTGATTGTTCTGTGGTGTGTGGATTCATTACCAGGGCATCAGCCATTTATGTTCACTTCAGCGAGAAAGTTACAAGAAAGACAACAAGAACTAGGTTTATACATATCACATGGTTTATAGTGCATTAGCTGGAATTAGTCATATAGCCTCACTGAGCATCATAGAGAGCTACAGATTGCATCTATTTCTTAGTAGCACTAAAATGTTGGGGAGAGTTATAACTATATGAAAACTAGTGGGTACATTTAACAGCTGTTCACTCTTACTGTCTGTTTACTGATTGATTTGACACTAAGACAACATATTGTAGATAGATAGATAGATAGATAGATAGATAGATAGATAGATAGATAAGCAAATAAACTTAAAGGAGAAAACATGGGCAATCTCAGAAACCATGTTGGCAAAGGCAGCACAAATGCTGACGTATCCATGTTGTTCGGGAACATCAAAGTTAGTGTGCTGATTTTCTGTGTACACAATAGCTGCTTATATCATTTTCAACATTTTAAAAGGCGTTACTGACAGTAAATGCAGCTTTTTGACCCTGATAATGAAAACATTTTTCTCGGGGTAATTTTTGGGGAGAACAACTGAGGCTGATGATGGAAAGTATCCTAAAATAGGGGCAGCAATGTACAGGGTGTACACTTATAAACAACAACAACAACAACAAAAAGGCCGAAAGCATAATCTTATTGTGCATACCAAAGATGGCTAATTTGTGTGTCTCTATGGAAACACAATTCAAAGAAGAAATCTTTATATATTTCCACCCAAGGAAATATTTTGGTCTGCCCCAAGTATTGCATGGACTACTAACAGTGGTAAATATTAAGTATTTGCCATTAAATATTAATGTGTCTGAATTATTTCTGCAAAAGTTTAGGAAATCAAGTAATGAACTATTGAATTTTCTGTCATCTGCTCACATGTTTCCAAACAACTGCACTCTTAGCACTTGTTCTAAAGCAAAAGCAGCCTAGGTGTTAGCCTCACCAAGAGCAGAGACTTAGGAAAGGGTACTTTTGCAGCAGGCCTGAGGCCATAGGTTGAGTCCCTAGCACCTCACAGCCTGGGAGCAGTGGCTCATACCTTTAACCCCAGCACTTTGGAGGTGAACCAGGAAGACAATAAATTCAAGGTCATCCTGGGATACATGTGAACTGTACCAAATTAAATAATTTAAAAAAAAAACTTGCAAAAAGATGAAAGATATAAGGTATGAAACCAGATTGTCAAAATTTGCTAAATTAGTTCATCAAAAGGATAATTTTTTAAAAATACTAGTCATAGTACCAGAGCTGTTTTTGTAATGAAATATGTTTATATCAAAGTAATAAAACTACCTGCCAAATAACTTCTAGTGTGGGTGATATTCTAAATTTTATGTAAACTATATTATCTTTTGAATATTTGCTATTTTCTGATATGCATGAGCCAACATTTCTTATCTATTTTTACATAGGTAGACAAAATATCTAATTGAGACAGTAAAACCATAGCTTCTTAAAAATCAATTACATTGTTGATGAATCTTAAGTTGTCCCCATACAGCAAGAAACTGGAAATCACACTCATGGAAAGTTTAGTTATATTCATCTCAGTTTTGATCTGACAATGATGGAATAAAAGATGACAAGACACTGGGTGATTAAGCACAGTTCAATAACATGATGCATCAATAATGTATGAACCATATTCCTGAGTTAATTTTTTTCAAAGCATGAAATGATATTGAGACCTTGTCAGCTAGACTCTTTCAAGAATGAACTCTTGTTTTTAGGGAGCAATGTTGATTGACATCAAGGTTTTTCTTCCATGTAGGAGGAGCCTTTTGTAATGGTCTCTGAAAATGTCTTGGGAAAACCGAAGAAATACCAAGGCTTCTCCATTGATGTTTTGGATGCCCTATCTAACTACCTGGGTTTTAACTATGAAATTTATGTTGCACCGGACCACAAATATGGAAGCCCACAGGAAGATGGGACTTGGAATGGATTGGTAGGAGAACTTGTTTTTAAGGTAAGAATTCATTTATCTCATTCCCAAAACTTCAGCTATGAGCAATGAAAGCTGTCTTCATATGAAGAAGTTTGATGGAAAATATTTGATTGTGGTATTTAGTGGAAGAGACTCACCCAGTGCTATTTAATGAACATTGTGAAGAGAAAACTGGATAGCAAAATACAGTTTAAATGTGAGGCTATCCTACAACAGGAAACTACAACTGCTGTCTTCGTTCTGTCTTTTGGCTTTATTCCTGTCTATTCTGTTGGTTTTTCTAGGATTTTCTAATATAGGTAGTTATTGGGATCAGTCATTTGAGGGAAGTTTATAAGTATATTTTTTGCCTCATCTGGCAT